GGCATATCAGTTGTGAATGATATATCACCAACATTCTGCAGTTCTTCTTTTACCTAGCTCCTCTGTGTGAGTGTTTCCTAACCAGGGTGCCATCTGTGTTGCCCTGGGGTGCCACAAATGCAGGCTCCCTTAGGGTGCTGTGACCACAGGTTTCCCTGGAATGTTATGAGCATTGGATCAATGTCATGAGTTGCCCTGGTATGGTAGGACCACATGCCACTACCATAACAGCCAATGATGTTCTAGGGCGAGGACTCACGGCATCATTAATTGCTATAATAGTAGGTAATAGTGGCTGGCTCACCTGTATCATAGCGATGCATGACTTTGATCCAGTGTTCACAGCACTCTGTGATGGGGAGCCTCTGATGTAAAGGAGGGGCATCTGATGTGAAGTTAATTTCATCAAGGCAATTGCGTTCATTGTCCCAGGCTTGGGTTTCCATTGATAAGTAACAGGTTATTTATTCCATAGCACTGTGTGACTGCGAGGACGCCATCATATCACTGGGGGTGCAAGATACAGCCAGCAAACTCTCCCATATCTAACCCAATTTCAGAACCAGGAATGAACAGAATATGCATTTGTTAAAGTGGAGTTCCACCTAAAAAAAATTAAATAAAAGTCAGCAGCTACAAAAACTGTAGCTGCTGACTTTTAAAATACAGCCACTTACCTGTCCCTCGGTCCAGCGGTTTCACCGGCCATCTTCTCTCTCCAGGTGCCAGCATCTTCAGTGTGGGCACCCGGCAGTGATGACTTGCGGCTTCATAGCTGGGTGCCCACTGCGCATGCGCGAGACCTGTCATGTGTCCCAGAAGAGTATAGGGAGGGAGGGGGGGAGGATAACTTCCGCTTCCAATCGCCTAGGCAATCGCAGCGGAAATGGGAGTGGGTACCTGTCAAATTTGGGTACCCGCTTCCTCTTGCTCCCCAAAGGTGCCAATCCTTAATGGGGAGCGGGGGACAAAGACTTAAAGTGGAACTTCCCCTTTTGGGTGGAGCTCCACTTTAAGCTAAATTCCTTACAAACACCTGTGAGGCTAAAATAACAGACTGAGTAGGCACAACAATTCATCAAACCATACCGCACAGACATCCATAGGCAACCCATGGTTTTTTGGTCTGTACCATGGAGAATCCAGCAATGAAGAGAAAACCAGCACACCAAGTAGATTCTGAAGCAAGATTTACAGAAGTCCCAATTCAGTAAAAATGTTACACCAACATTTTGAGAGAACGGTGGCTCTTTTTCTCAAGGTGACAGAGACATAGGGATTGATTTATTAAAGGCAAATAGACTGTACACTTTGCAACTGTAGTTGCTCTAGAGCTTAGTAAATGAGGGGAAGCTCTGTTGACATCCATCATCCAATCATGAGCAAAAATGCTGTTTTTTTTAGATTGTCCAAGCATGTGATTGGGTATTCTTTGTAAAGTGAAGCTTTACTTCATTTACTAAGCTCTGGAGCAACTGCACTTACAGGATGCAACTGCACTTGCAAAGTGCACAATCGATTTGCCTTTAGTAAATCTACCCCAACGTGTCTAAAAACAATAGACATACAGTTTATATACCCATATATTTAATCACAAATCATTGCTATTGATATGCCTAAAACTGAGACAAGGCATGTACCATGCCAGCTACCTGGCATCCCTATGTGGTCTGAAATGGAAAAATACCATGCTGTACCTGTGGTGGCCTTGTAGTCAGGATGGAAAGCATAATCCAGTGATCAAATGGCTGAAAACCGAAAATGTATTCCATGGACAAGACAAGACATCCTGCTCCAGAATCTACTTGGTGTGCGGGTTTTCTCTTCATTGCTGATGCCTAGGCACTGTCGTATGCGTGAAAGTGCTCTATTGCTTCTAAGGAAGTATTGTACATGCTAAAGGTAGATTTTTCTTAAAATAAATGCTTTTCTACATTAAATGTGCTAATAAATCTCTGTTAAACAAACTTTTGATTGCAAGTATACTATAGGTCCACTTCAAGACTTTCAGTGTGGTCTCATCACAGTGGCCCTCGAGTAGCTATTTTGTCCCTTGTAACATGGGGAGAGCAAGCTCTACAACTCAAATGTTTCTATCAACTTGTACATTCCAATTCTTAATTAATGGCTGAATTGTACCATTACTGGTTTGTAATTAAAGTCCATTAAAATATGAGACATAATGATTCAATAAAGACTGATTTAACAAACATGCAAAAATAATTTTATAGATAATAGTAAGATAACAGAGAATTAGCTCTGCTGGAGATTGACTGGATCAGTCATCTGATTACACTCATTAGGGATAGATTAAAATGTATTTCTGAAGGCTTTAGAATGTGGGTTGTACACTATATCTAATGGATTATTTATTGTGCTTTTTTTATTAAACAATAGGTCAAGATCAGCTATGCTGTTTTATCTTTATTTAATAAGGTATTAATTTAGGCATTGTTTGAAAAGTGTAAAACTCATCCACCAACTAAGACACTGTAGCCATTTCTGCAGAGAACTTCAAATAAAGAGTGTGTGCACAACCCTCCAGCACAGGAATCTTTTAAAGCAGTATTAATCCCCAAATCAAACATTTATTATATTGCTGCTTTCTATTTCTTAGATGAGATGACTGCATTAGTTTTCTTTTATAGGCTTTTTTATCCTTTATTTTCATCTGGTGATACAGCCAGTAAGTCTGTTATTTTTCAACAGAACCAGTTCTCCTGCAAATGTAGAGTGTTGAGACAAACAATTTACCACTGGCAGGGGTGCTTTCAGTAATCAGCTTGTGTGTATTTTTGTAAAACCTTTATCCCAAAAGAAAAAAAAATGTTGCTGTAACTGCTTGTGTAACTGCAGTGTGAAACTAGTGTTTGACTTCAATTTGTTAGTATATCTAAATTTGCTTGTCCATCTAACACTCCCCACGCCCCCCACTGCTGTGCCAAAGGTGCCCCTGTGCACCTTTATCTAAAGTGGGGGCACTATAATACAGGAGGCGTGTAACTGACTAGATCTCCAGGTAAAAACAGAGGGGGGAAAGCCTAAAAAAGGAAAACTAATGCAGCCACCACATCTAAAGCTTGGTAAGCTACAATATATTACATTTTTGGTTTTGGGTTTAATACTGCTTTCATTTCAGTAGAGAACACATTGCTAAGAAAATAAATGTAAAACACACTATGGGGTGTATTTATAAAATATGTGCATCGCTGTTTGTTGATTGATTGAAACTGCATGCAATTTTGTTCTCTGCAGATTGAATGTGTGAATGGAGAAAATACCCCATTACGGCCATTAGTTGGCACTGACTGTCATAGAAAAAAAGTGTGTTCCTTAACTCCATCTCTTGGTCATAATGTAGTATTTTCCCTATTCACACATTCAATCTACAGAGAACATTTGCTTTTTCGAACAGCCATGCACCAATGGACAAACTGCAAATTTTTTATAAATACACCCCATGTCATCCAAAATACTGAATATTTTTTTAAGTTCATTTATATCTGCAGGTTCAAAGACAATATTAACTCTGTATATAGGAAGACAATTTTAGTGAGCTAATTATAAAGAATATATGATTATGTTTATTCAACTTTTCACCCTCATTTAGACAATATTATTTTTATTATTATTTAAATTTTGATTGAAATTTAATAAGGAATATTTATATAATTTAAGCACTATGCAATAATATAACATTAAAGTGTTACTAAACCCACTAAACCCACAACAGTAAAATCAGTCTGTATATGCAGTAAAGCATGTTTGTTATCCTCACCGTGGAACCTAAGGGGTTAATCCTCTGCATCCTGTCTTCTTTGATCCTCCCCTTCTACTGCCCCCAATCTGTCTGCCATAGTCAGAGCAGCAGTGGCAAGTATGCACACGCTCTGTTTGATGTGTGTTGCTAGTAAGTTTTTTCTCTGGTTGCATTTTATTGGCACAGGGCCAATCAGTACTGTCCACATAGAGGGTCAGGGGTCATGAAACCTCATAGGACAGTCAAAAGAGAATCAAAACTCCTCTTACAAGATTAACAAGTACTCGGCTGGGCACTGATAGAAGTCACAAGACTGCTATATACTGCTGATGAAAAACTGTATTTAGCAGTTTACATTTACTAAACTAATTGCATTTCCATGTTCTGTGTACTGTGGGAGACCAGATATAGTGACTGCAGGGTCCTGGGTTTATAACACTTACAGTATATTGATAATTTTAGTCATTTAAGAAAAAATTGTTTTAAGTATTTATATACCAGTCACAATTACACTCATCGCCCACTTCAGGTACACCTGTTCAATTGCTTAGTAACACAAATTTCTAATCAGCCAATCACATGGCAGCAACTCAATGCATTTAGGCATCTAGACGTGGTGAAGACGACTTGCTAAAGTTCAAACCGAGTATCAAAATTGGGAAAAATGGGGATGTAAGTGACTTTGAACGTGGCATGGTTGTTGGTGCCAGACAGGTTGGTCTGAGTATTTCAATAACTGCTGATCTACTGGGATTTTCACGCACAACCATCTCTAGGGTTTACAGAGAATTGTCAGAAAAAGAGAAAATATCCAGTGAGTGGCAGTTGTGTGGACAAAAATGCCTTATTGATGTCAGAGGTCAGAAGAGAATGGGCAGACTGGTTTGAGATAATAGAAAGGCAAAAGTAACTCATGCCAATATGGATTAAAAACTCTGGTGAATGTTTCCAACACCTTGTTGAATCTATGCCACAAAGAATTAAAGTGTTACTAAACCCAGCACCCTGCATCCACTATATCTGGTCTCCCACAGTACACACAACATGGAAATACAATTATTTTAGTAAATATAAACTGCTGAATACCTTTTCTCATCAGCAGTATATAGCAGTCTTGTGACTTCTATCAGTGTCCAGCTAAGCACTGGCTAAAGCTTGTAGAAGTTTTCTTTCTGCTCTAGGAGTGTGTAGGACCCCTGACCTCTTTCTGGACAGTGCTGATTGGCCCGGTGCTGTTCACATGCACTCTCCCAAGAAAAAAAAAACTCTCTAGCAATACACACCAAACTGAGCATGTGCAGAGTGTCTCCACACAATATGTTTTATCAGGATATGAGAGAGGGGCACTGGAAGAAGGGGAGGATCAGAGAAGTCAGGATCAATGTGTTTTTACACAATGCAGAGGATTAACCCCTTAGGTTCCACAGTGTGTATAACAAGCATGATTTATTCCATATACAGACTGATTTTACTGTTGTGGGTCCAGTAGCACTTTAAAAACAGTTTTGAAGGCAAATGGGGGTTCAACCTGGCACTAGCAAGGCTACCTAATAAAGTGACAGGTGAGTATATATTACTTATCAATGTGATGTAATAGCTGTACCTTGATTTTAACACTCGCTATGTTAAATCTAAAATATGCTTTATGCACGCTTTGTCATTTTTTTAAACTACCTGTTCACTAATCCTGAAGAAGTGGCCAACACAGTGCCATGAAATGCATTGATGGTGTTGATACTTGCTGATACTTGTTACCAACAAAAACAACTTTTTTTTATTGAGAATATATGATGAATTATTGATCACATAGGTGCATGCCTCTGTCCATCCAAAATACAAATCTCACATTTCACTGGTACCCTACCACTTGTCAGTGTATGGCAACCTGTGTACTATTTTGAATGCTACTGTGCAGTTCCAAAGGCCTGTGCGGATACATATGTATTCTATTACTGGGTTTGAAACATATCTATGGTCAAACTCATATATTCATTTCCACAGTGTATTTCAATTTGTTCTGTCCTACTCCTATTAATCTGAATGATCTTAAAGATCTCCAAACATTTACTTGCTCGAATACTGTGACACGTAATGTGAGTAAGGCACTGTTGTGTCACACATTTCACAGAGCTTGTCTTCTGAACTACAGAAGTGATGAGAGGAGCAATTTCTAGGAGGCCCTAAAATTCCTTAAAATTACATGCATTTATTACATCATTATTACACGCATTTACTACTATTGGCGGATGTATTTTATTATTTAAGCTGCATATTATTATTATAGTTTATACATTACATATTAATTATTTATGATTATGTTTACCATTTCATTATTGCTGTATATTATTTGTGGGTAATTGCTATTTAACATCTATGAAAATTGTTTTATTGTTTTGGGATCGCTCGCTTGCTTGTATTGAATTAAAATTTTTTTTATATGTATTTTATGTGCAATCACTCTTATGTATCTGCAGAGATCGAGCGGTATTGTGTTACCATAATGCCGTTTCTGATTGGCTGCAATTAGTCTGCAATGCAGACTGAGTGTGTGATATATAGTTGTGTAGAGATGTCTATCATCCATTCCGCCCCATGAGGACGTCGGATGACGAAACTAGTAGGGCGGGACTTCTTTTGGATGTGACGTCAGGACGCTCCTCGTAGACTGTCGGCTGTGATATCGCGGTGAGCGAGGCTCGTCCCTGCTTTCTTGAGGCTGTCATTGCAGCTGTCGGCTAGACACCCTGTTTGTGAGTGCATTTCTGACGTTTTAATAAAACATTTTGGTTTTAAACGTACTGCACCATGATTTCCTTTTTTGATTCCCCGATCATGATCTATGGTATGGAGACGTGATGACTACCTGCTGTTAAGGCTATTCCATGTTGTGCTGATTGGCTGCTTGCAGTATATTGCTCCCAGTTTGGATTACTTCTGCTGATCATCGCTCCCAGAGCAAACACTATCTTTGCTGATTTATAATCTGGTCAGCATGGAGCTCTGGTGAGTGTACCCATTTCATTCGGTGGTGGATTTTTTTTGCACGATGTTTGATTTATACAAGATTTCAGAACTGTTTATTTACTTTGTTATGGATGGACTTTCATATAAAAATTGTTTTTATCACGGACATCATTATTTTAAACTAATAATTTTTATATTAACTTATATTTAGCGCACTCTTTGATTTATTCACAGAGTTAGTACAGTGATCACTGCTTGCAGGCAGCAAGGTACCATGGGATATATAGTCCTTAGACTAGAAAGGGAGGGAGGAGACTGCAGACTACTCCACCCAAAGCCCCTCTTGTTAATTCGAGGATAAAATATACAACAATAAAGTAAATGGGGGGGGGGGGGCACAGCAACAAAATCCATAAAGGAAAAAAAAAACCACAATGATAGTGAAGAGGAGAGCATAAAATCACTATGTGTGTGTAGTTAAAAACACTACCTTGGGATATAGGACTATCCACAAATATTATTAGTGAGTGTCGAAGATGACACAAGAGAAAAGATGACACATCTACTAAACCTATACAGAGAAACATAAAAAATACCCACAGTTAATTTTAAGTCCATAAAGTCTCCACAGCAGTAGACTGCATCCAACACTTAGCAATACAATATGGATATAGACCCACCTCAACAACACCTTGTGGCAAATACAGCCTCAATCCTTGCTGCCTTGAGAGTCACATCCTACACCACATGGTGGCATGATTAAATGGAGGAGAGAGCCACCACCCCCTCTGTGCATCACTCTCGGTGTCACCTTATCTTACTTACTAATTAATGTTTTTTAGGGGTTTCTACTTCAAGGTATTTTAATAATGTTGTAATAAAGATTTTGTTTTATTTAAATAATTTTCTCTTGAGTTGTATTTCTAAAGGGAGGTTTTCAGCACCATAAGAATCCCACCATTTTTCTTTTTGTTTATACTTTGTACTCTATTATAAAAAATAGCTATTGTTTGCATTTTTAGTACCATGAAAGTTTATCGTGTGATCATAGCTCCTTTGAGGTTGCTTGATCCCTAAATTGGTTTCTTGCAACCCTATAGATGTGAGTAACTGCTAAAAAATCCCTGCTTTTATCATGCATAACTTTTGGAATTTAACCTAAAAAAATACCATACTTGGGCTGATCTTTTCTCTGGCTCTCTTTCTTTTATTTTCTTCTTCTTGGACTGGTCTGGCTTGACATCGTTCCCTGGTAAAGAAGATGCTAGCAGCAACAGATGACAATGCTCAGAATGTAATTAGACAGTTCACACAGAAGCAAAGGGATAACCCTAGTAAAAATCTAACATCCAGCACTCAGATGAATCCCAATACCTCTCAACACAACTCATATATACAACCCCCAGCAGATGGAATAACCCTGTCTTCCTGGGCAGGTAGGCAATATGATTGAAAAGATACCAGTGCTCCATTGTGACCTCAGAAGAGTGATCCCACTTAAAAATTAATATAACTGTTTTTATACAATCCCTGTGTACATAAATTAGTGCTCATAAACAAAATATTCACTATTCCGTGCAGCTATTTCATCCCACTACTGGATATAATCTCCATACAGTACACCACATAAAAATTGGACTCTCACCAGATAATAAGACCCTTAGACATCAGTGGGTTATGTAACACATGATGCAAGTAAAAGTGTGGTCACCAGATGCCACCCGCTTTCTCTCAGGTCCACCTTTTAAAAATCAATCTGTGTCCCAGGTAACTCCAGGAAATGCTTTTAAAAAAGATCAAGAGGCCAAATCCGTATGTGGTGAGAGTCTATTTGCATGTGGGGTATTGCACAGTGGTGAAGTGGATTGATGGGAAGAGTTATTTGCACTTTTTTTCACGTCACTGGGGATTGTTCATATACTGGGACTCAGAAAAGGAATCTGAAGAGTATGCACAGAGGAAAACTAAGCTCCAACCCAGATGACCACATTGCAGTTAACCTCTGACTGCTTCTCCATATGATACCCTCACTAGTCAATCCCAATAAAAAAGAATATTTGAAGTATTGGGGTGAAAAGCAGTGAAATGCAGCAGCCAATGAAATTGCATTTTATGTACTAAGCCCTTCATGAGGATGCTGATGTGAATTTTACCTTGAGGTGGAACCTCAGTCAAAACATTTTAGGTGTTTTGATAGAGGATAAGTAAAAACCTCTGTGAAGATTTTTTTTTTTTTTGCTGCATGTGTCCCCTTTTGTGAAGATATCCTTTTGCTTTTTGTCCCAGTGACTCAAAAGAAAGTGAGTGGTAATCTCTTCAAAACGTGGGAAAATCTCATTTTGGCATTCTTGGTTGGGATTGGCTGTGAGGACACTATAGCTGAATGCATTCTCTCCACCAATAGTAGGGAGGAAAACACAGGATCTTTCCAGAATCACTGGTCAGACCTGTTCTGTAGGAAAATTGAAACCCCTTCTTCAATTCAGCTATTTTACAAATATAAAATGCTTAATTCTCTGCTCTTTTTCTGTTTCAGTAGACAAAGACTGGAAGGTAATTTAGTTATTTATTTTTATTTCTACAAGGATTTCCTATGTGGTAGTATGGCTGGTGAAATTTATGCAATGACTCAAATGTATCCTAAAATATTTGCTTTCTTGACTTAAAGCACTGCTAGTAGCTATGTTTCCAGGCAGCATTCACCAGATTAAGTTGTGGTGTCATAATGGGGCATCTCCCTGCTACATGTACTCTAGATCAATTACTCATTTTTTTCTTGTTTGCTATGAAGGAATTGGCACTATACCAATCTAGAGAGCATGGCATTTTATTTTTTTTTGGAGGTACCCAGTTAGGATGCTGTTGATACAGGCTTTAAAGGTATGTGCATTTCATTGCCAGTGGCAACAGCAGAAAAAGCTGCAGTGCACTATGGTAAAAGTAACAGAGAACCTTGTTTTGCCTCTAGCATGTGTGCAGAGATTCCGTTCAACTCTTGACAACATTTTGCTCCTGTCATGTTTTCAATAACTCTTTCCTATGCACTTATAGCTATGGTTGAACTGGCATTTATCTCCGGATTCTCTTAAGTACAGCACTAATTGCAAAGAACAAGCTAATGGAATGCCAGTCAATTTACGAAGCCCAGTTTAGTGGGGAGGGGTCAGGACTTGTGATCATCGCATTATTGTCTGTGTTTTTATAGGGGAGATTTCTTTGCCATAGGGAAAACACAAACAGTATAAACTTATCTAAATTCTATTTATTTCTTTACTATGCTAAAAATGTGTTTATTGCTTTCTTTGTTCTTGTAGGAGACTTTTTCAGTCATTCTGTGTTGGCAACCACATAGAAAGTGAGGAGAAATTTCCCCAGCAGGGACACAGCAATAAAAGCTAGACAGAGGTTTAAATTCTTCCTCACACTTTCAAAAAAGGAAACATGTTTTGGCTGG